GCATATTATTTTATGTTAACTTCAATGCTTTTCAAGCCAATGATAAACTTTTCGTGCCTATTAATTCACTTTAAAAAAAAAAAAAAAAAATAATTTTTCCTTTTTTATTATTCAAAATCCAGTGTGACATCTTACCCCATATAGTGAGACAACTTACCCGATGGTGGGGTAACATGTCACATGTTCACACTCTCTATTTGATTGCTTATAACTCTGCACTTGCACAAGATATGAAAATGATATGAATACAAAATATATACCTGAGACTTTGGTCTTTCATCTGGTACACGTTGTTTTTTATATGATGTATTGATTCCAAGAAATATATAAGAGTGTAAAAAGTGTGACAACAAGCCCCAGTCTCCCCTACGCTTAATAAATCTTTGTTTTCCACAAAGCTTATCTTCTCCAATAATCAAAAATCCATTTGAAAAACTCCATTGGCTTTTTGTGGACATACTGATTAGTGCAGCTTTAGAAACCTTTAAACAAACAAATGAGATCATTTGTTGTAATATTGGACTGTTATAAACCACCATCCCCACCTGCAGTGCTGCCCATCCAAACAGACAGGAGTCAAATATGAATTGAGGCAACTATGTGCAACAATAATGGCCTTAAAAAGTCTTCATCTGCCAAACCCTATCCAGAACCTCTGAGGACGTGTCATTCGGCACAGCCTTGAGATGGAGTGAAAGAAAGAAGAGAGAATGAACATGTTTCCTTCCCTTTGATCAAACAGAGGACAAGAGGTTGCTAGGAAACTGTGACTTTAGAAGAAAGTGTATTTGACACTGCGGGAATATCATTGGTGTTCAGAGACTCCGCTGATGGAAGTACAAAACACCAAATATAATACATAATGCACTTTACAGCCCTTTTCAAAGTGCCTTGATAAAAGCTGCTCTGCAGTCAGTTTTATTTGAATGTGGATTTATTCAAAGCAGTTCAGTTGAGAGATCCACCAGAGAGTGTTTCCAGTCACTGTTCTGTTTGTGCAACAGGTGCACACAGAACTGACTATTGTTTATTCATGTCAGCACATTGACAGTAACTGTATACAATGGAGGATTTTCTGCTATGTGGGTTTTATGTGTGGCAGTACAAAATTTCCTGTTAGGGTGTCACTAGTCAGGGTTTATGAAAGACAGTGCTTGTACTACATTTATTAACATGTAAGGCTGAATTCAGATTGTATTAATTATTATATCGTATCAATACTGGAATTCATTTACCTTATTTTCACTCCAGTCATATAAGTATTTTTTGCATTTCACTCATGGATGGCTGGTGTTTGCACATCTGCAGTAGATGGAAGTATTCTTTCATTATGCTCACAAGGTGCTTGCATATCTGTTTGTCCTGTATGGTTTAGCTCTTTTGTCTTTGAATTTGGTTCTGGAAATGAATTGACTGCACGCAGCCCCTTCATCTCAGGCACACAGGATCTCTGTGGTCTCTTCTCTGGCTGTGTATGTGTCATTCACTCTCCATCATCCAGCTGTAAAGCTTTGCATAGATTATCCAGTGCCGTTGTAGTCTCCAAGGGCGGGCTATTGTGTGCATGAATGAGGTGTACAGTTTGATAGCTGCTTCAGCCGTGGCATTAGTGCAGCAAGGACGATTACATAAACATATGCACCTATATTACTTTTGCAAAAAAAAAAAGTATTTTCGTTTTATTACAAAAAAAATACATGTGCTTTGTCTGTAAATAGCTGTGAATGCTGCAAATGAGATGTTGTTTTGATAGCATGTTATGCTGCGGAGAAGAGTTAAATTCCTCCATAATGGCATAGAGATTTGACCTGTTCTCAGTGTTTAGGATTACAGTTATCGGGAGAATATTGATCGTCCTCTACATTTTCCCCATGCATTTGCTGTCCCTGCCTTTTTCTGCTTGACACACTAGCCTGAGACAAACCTTCCATCCTTGACTTGTGTGCATCTGTGTGGTGACTCACCCCCCCTGATGATGTCACACCTCCTCAGTTGCCATGGCAGTCGTCCTGGCAACCAGTGTCTAGGCTCCTGTAGCGGAGACGAGAGCGATTCTGACAATGCAGCTAAAGGGGTTAATATTGATGGCTGGCTCTAATTATTTTCCCCGCGGCATCGAGGCTACTTCCAAAGGCTCTGCAGGGCAATGAGTCCAGCTTTATTCTTCCCTGCACACTGGTGTTGGGCTCAGATGTCTTGTGCTAGCTAAGAAAACACAGTGAGAAGTGAATGGATGCACTGTCGCACCATAACAACAAGTGCAACAGATAGTCCCTGTGGGGAAGCATATGCGGCAATGCTGTGATTCTCAGGGAGAGTATTGGAGGGGTGTAATGGAGGATAAACCCAACTGACCCCATTTTATTAACATGTTACTAAGAAGTATTTTGTGTTTTAAATAATTGTCTACATCAGACTAATAAATATTGTTATATTGAATGATTACAATGATAATAATCTGTATTGTACAGCTTTATATTAAAGTTAAGAAAATTAACAAATGAAGAAATAGTCCAAACAGAGTGGTTAGAAATGAATTAGTAAAAAGGTCAATTTCAATCAATTTACAGAAGTTGCATGCCGGGTATTCATAAGCAGGCTATTCCACAGTTTTGGTTCATAATAGCAAAAGCCCATTCTTCTTTGTCTTAACTCTCTGTAGTTTTGATGCTGTACTGCTAGGGATGAGTTTTCTGTGTGGGAAAAAAAGTAGGCCTACACAAGTCTTTAGCTTCAATGTAACTGTTTTATTATCTTTGAACACAGTGTAGAGTACACTCAATTTGGAACTGGTTATCAATTTCCATCCCTAACATTTTTAAATGACTCATTATAATTTAGTTTTTCTTAGCCAAATAGAAACTCTGCTAAGCCCGGCTGCATGCCGCTATGGTTCTTATAACATTTGATATTTACCCTCAGTAACGGACATCAAATACAAGCATTCCTGGAATTTAAGCCCATGTTGTATAGAATGTTTTGACATATTGCTGGTGTGAAATGAAGCTACGCTTTGGACTTCTTCTCTCTCTGCTTCTCTTCGTCCTCCACCGTGACTCCTTCTTATTAAGTTTCCTGCAGCGTAGACGCATGAGTTTGATGTCAGCTTTGCAATGTGCACCTGTCAGAAAAACATGCCGCATCCATCAAAGAATTCCTAAGCTCAGAGGCATACGTCGGCTTGAGCCTTGAGTGTCCCTTTCTTCACAGATTTCCCTTCACACAGGTGTGTTCATCCCGTAGCCCGCCTGACAGTTGTCAGCTCTGCATTCTGCCTCCAGGAACATCCTTTGCCACCCATACACTCTCATACATCACACCTGACAAGCAGCGCCGGCCTCCGCCCGCAACAAAACAGTATCACAGCCGCAGCCCAGACGAGGTCAGGCTGCCCACTCTCATCTGTTCTCAAGTTACAGGGACATTTTCAAAGCTGGCATTTTCCTTGAGACGCCTTGTAATAAAGCTTGGCGATCATCCCTGACCTTCAAATACACAATCTTCACCCAGTTTTGAGAAGGCCACCCTGACTTTTGTGTCACACTGGGATAACATTTCCAGTGTCGATTCTGTTGTGAAATGAATGCCATTTATAATACAGCCAGTTAGAGTTAGAGTTAGTGCTACTCTAGTTGTCCCTGCAGAAACGACGGTTCCAGTGATCATAACACACATTTGGCACAAAGTCATAAAAATGACTTTTGAAGGCTGAAAAATAAACATCAAAATGCAGCCTGAGACCTGTGAAATCCTGAGTAGTAGTTCCATTAACCACTGAGCCCTAACCCACACAAAGCAACCGCTGACGCCCAATCACAGCTGGAAATAAAGATTGGATCCAAAAGACAAAAAGGAATCATATCACCTCTGTGTATACCATGTTCTCCACACATATCCACAGTGCACAGGCAGGATGGATGTCTGCCAGAGTTCGGAGCTGTTGGTCTGTTTATTTTTGCTTCTGTTAGTTCTGTTTGTCAAAATGACTTTAACACGCAGGAAGACGTCACACAGTCGGTGTGTGTGTGTGTGTGTGTGTGTGTGTTTTAATTTTAAGTTTGAAATTTATTTAAAAGGGACAATGCGCATTAATTAACACACTATGCACATTTGCCAGATTTAGCCATACAGGCTCACTTTTATTTTCAGTCTTAAAAACAACAACTAATCAATTAATCAAGGAAATGATCAACAGATTAATTACTTAGTTGCAGCCCTATTATTTTTTTTTTTTTTGGTTATCAGTTTAATTTTCCATTTAAAGAAATCTGTTGTTTGACATTTTTAGAAATAGCCATATTTCTTTTCTTGCTGAGAGTTAGACGAGAGGGTTGATGTGTGTAAATACACCGTAAAGCTGCAGCCAGTTAGATAAGTATAGCTTAGCACGGCACAGAGACTGGAAATAGGGAAACATGTAGCCTGACTTTGACTGAAGTGTTCTATCTTAACTGTAAAAGCGATTCTGGGTTGCAGTTAGAGGCGGGAAATTGGTATCGATCTTTTCCCAAAGATAATTAAAAAAAAAACTGAATTTTTTTTTTAATTTAGTTTTGTAAAATAATAAGCAAGAATAAACTTTATTTATAAAAGAAAATTCAAAACAAAGTAACAGTGGCTTAACCAGGATTTAAAACATTTCAGGAGGCAATAAGGCAAAATATAATCAGCCAATGAAAATCATATAGAAGTGAAGTAGAATAAAAACAATGAAAAGAATGAAACAGATGTAGACAATAAAAATGATAGAGTAAAATTCCCATCACTAATAAATGTTGAAAACAAAAGCAATAGTAAAATAGATGGGAAATGATGACAATTAAACTGTGCTAGAATACAGAATAGGCTTTTGATAGATAGATTTTTGTGATGGAGTTTTGTTTTCTGTAATAAGATTTTGAGCAGTTGGTTTAAAAATTAAAAATCCTTTAATAGAAATTGGAGCAGTTTCACTTCAGAAGAAGTTGTGAAGTAACTCTGTGCGCTGTCTCTCTTCACAGGATCTCATCTGTGCCCACGGAGCTTAGACTGTGCCCGGGCAGGACGGCGCTTCTGCCAGCCAGGCAGCTCCCACTGCGGGCCCTGCCTGCGCCCGCTGGTGGAGAACTCCCATGGCCGCTGTGTGGTCAAGAGGAGGCATGCCCCTCACTCTGCCTCGTCCATTAAAGGTGGGTGTTAGATTGTGTTTATAGGCTGAGTTAACCCCGAAGACATCAGCAGGGTTATTTTCTCAGATTTCTCCATCTGTTTTCACAAGATGAACAGTACTCCCCCACGACTGGGTTCTTAGAGTCAGATCAGTGTGTTGACGCATTCAACTAAATAGAAGAAGTATTAGTGTGACTATTTAATGTATCACAAATGAGACAGCAACCATATGAACAGTCAGCAGAGAGCGTGAGTAATGCTCCATATTCGGTGTGATTGCAGTGTGCCAGTGAGACTCTAATTGATCAGTGTTCCCTCCGTGTGCTTCCTCTATATGAGTCATGTACTTTACCAAAGGGCGACTTCAGAGAGTCCCAGTGAGTGTAATGCCAGCTTCCAGCTTCCATCCAACTCGGTCAGCAGTGTGTGTCGTGGTTTATGTCCAACGCTAAAGACCCCTACAAGTCTCTGCTTTCGCGTCCTGCTCTGCCAGTGCTGTTGAGAAGTGATAATGAGCCGGTGAACATGGGATGTGTCAGGGGGCAGAGCTGCTGTGTCCACTGCACAGGGAAGGTTTCTGGAAAAATTCAGCAACAGTAGTGTAGAGTGAATGATCAAAGAAAGGACAATTACGATGAACTGTACCACTGATCAACATCATCTTCATTATCTTAGTTTACTTATTATTTGATCACATAGAACCTAATTTAAATCTGCTTATGTGCAGACAACATTTAAAGATCCCCTCAGACATGTATCAGACATATACAACTATTCTGCTTAGAACAAAAATACAATAATGTGTGTTTGATATGTTTTTCCACAAAATGTCCACATTAAAAGTCTTAAAAGGGCCTGTATCTCATCTATCTCATTAAGCATTGTTTTGATATCAGGCGTATTAGTAGAAGTATCCCTTTAGGGTCAGAGCCTCAGCTTCCACTTATTGAATAAAAAATGTTTTGAGCTTGTCAAGCTAATGTTGGATCAAACAGATTCACAAACATGATTTTGCTTTTAAATCATCTTGACCCACAAGAGACCAGTATAATGGTATTAAAGACCAGCAACCATCACATTCTGCTTCCATATAAATTTTTTTTGTTGGTTTAGGAGCTGCTAAAGTGTTAGCATGGAGCACTGGAGCCACCAACCTCCTGGAAACAACTATATGATATCACCCAACAGTTTATTTCAGAGCAAGGTCAAACCTTTAAACAACATGGAAGTATGACTTTTTAATGCTCTCTGCTAGTACGTGTTATTTTTGCATCTATACATGTTCGTTATAAGTCAGTCACATTAAATCTGAGGTTCTTTGGCTGCAGGAGAAAAGGCCGTTGTGGTTGTGCAGACATTCAGTGGTGAGGCTGGATGAGAGAGCTTTAGCACCTTTCAACCCCCTCTTTCACCATTCAGACAGAAAGGCTAGAGTCTCTGCCAAGCACGACTTAAATGACTGACTGACTGACTGACTGACTGACTTGTGTCCTGACTGCCCCGCTGCCAGCTGAACAACCCACTGCAGTAAAGTCACAGTGATTGTGAGGCCCTCTCTCTTTGTTACTCCTCCACTCTGCCTCCTCTTTCTTGCTATTCTTCCTCCAGTATCTTCACTTTGCTCCTCCGAGGGTTCTGCTCATGCCTGAAAGGTTTCGAAAAGAACAGAGAAATAAATTGGATATTTTCCATACAAGCATGCAAAAAGGAAGTGAAAAGTGTAGAGAATAGTCTTAACCCCAATATTGTTTTAACTGTGTAATTTTCTAATGCAGGATGAGGCTGTTTATCAGGGAGTGAAGGCTCTGTGAATAGAACTTGTGTTCAGGTCTTCACCATCCTCATCCTGTGTGATTTTTATATCTTAAATAATCTGCTTCATTTAGCTTTCTTCACACCCTTACAGAAAAAAAACATGAGTTTCACATTTGTGTGGTGTAATGTCACGTACATTCCCATGTGAAACCTGCATGATTGTGTTGCAGCACGTGGTGCTATGATTTCCACATGTGCTCCACATGTACCATCTTTCCTACATGATGATTACATGATCACATATGAGAAATTCATGTGGTTTTTTTTCTGTAAAGGCAGAAATGAATGAAATGCTGACTTATAGGCCTCTTGCAGTGTTTCCAAACCTTTTTCCTTGAAGGACCCTTTTTTATCATTGATTAAACTGCAGACCCCTAACTAAATTACATATTTTTCAAATGGATTTTTCAAATTATATTCAATGCATAACATTAACAGTGAACACAACACTGCAGGAAGTTTGTGTAAAATGAGCGATTTGGATGAATTTTGAGCTGATCATTTCCTGTGAATATTGATCAGAGATATTTTTAGGAACTTTCTATACAACTCTTTGTTCGTATTATGTTTTTATTTACTTCTTTAACAATCATACAGACCTAATAGGCTTCTTTTTTTGACAAATTCAGTGTTTTCTTCTCCCTGATGCTGGTTCTGTTAGAACTGGTTGTTTCAACTGCGCGTACAGTTTTAATGCAGGACGATTAGATATAGGCCTACTGTGCATTTTTCTAACGCTTTCTTACACCGCTTAAAATCAAGAAAGCTTTGCGACGCCTTATAAGGCTTTTGCGACCACTGGCAGATTGCATATATTACTTAAAAAAGTTGTCTTACCTCTCTTATCACTGTTGCACTGGGTGACATGTTCCTTCATCAGCATGAACACACACTCTGTAGTCTATTTTGATTCAGGCCCACACACTGTCCTCCTGACCCAAATACTCACTAGAAAACAAATGTTGATCTCAGAGACAGATACTGTCTGCATGGCTAGATGGAGGAATTATATTTTTTGTAATTAAGGTGAGCTGACCCTTTGATTCCACTGACGACAATGCATTTATCTAACATTTATTAAAAGAAACATGTTTTCCATCCAGCACTAAAGCATGATGTGAGGCAACAGACAGACAGCATCCTGGCTTTGTTTCTCTTCTCATCTCATCTTCCTCGCTCTCCTCCCTGTTGCCATAGCAACGCTTTTCATTCATGATTCTGAGGAAGACCCTCCCCACCTCCCACGCCTCCTTCTCTCTCTCTCCATCATTGTCTTTTTTTTGGTATTTCTTTCTCTATGTTGCCATCAACCCACACTTTGGGCAGCCGGGCTTGACAGTAGAGCACTGAGCCATCCACCCACACACAGTAACACACACAGTAACACACACACAGAGCACACCACATCCATTTGCCCACTCATACCAAATAGTACGACGATATATAAAAAACACAGATGAAGCATTTACATACATTTACACCCCCATCCAGCACTACCAACACACACCCACACACAGGAGTCTTTCACCTGCTGCATACACACATCCACACCCCCTGCTCTTGTTTTTTCCAAGACACACGCCTCAGCCCCCACACACACACACACAAACGCATATACACACACATTGTGTCACGTTCAGCTCTCACGCCTGTGTGACCTCCTCCCACTCATCAGCGTCATAAACTCCCAGGCAGTGTGATGTTGCTCTGCAGTGCAGCACAGGATCACAGGAGGTGGAGGGGACATGAACACTGGTTCTCTTATTAAAACATTCAAGACTGCACTTTATTTCTAATGCCTCATGGGGGCGGTGTTATCTTCATCCACTGCCATGACCCTCAGTAGTATTCTCAAAAGGGCAGGACAAGTGACTCTAATTTCCAGCAGTCAGCAGCAGTGCAACAGAGCTGATATCAGTTTATTAGTTTAGAAAGAAAGAGCATTTTGCAGGCCCCAACCAGGGAAAACAGAGATAATAAAAATACATTAGACACCTTCAGAAAGGTCACGTTTGTATTCTGTGTGATGACAATGGTCTATAGCTGCAGATGCCAACCCTAAAACAGGGGTCAAATGCTGTCAAACTGAACAATGATTGAACCAATATGCCACAGTAATGTAATGTTTTCAAGTTCAAATATCTTCTTATGGGATCTTTTTTAAGCAAAGATTAATGTATATTATTGTTTTTGATTAAATCAGCATATATTTCATATTTCTGACGCCTTCAAATCTCCTGTAATTGTCCCAGATGTAATTGTTGTTTTTTTGCTGGATCTTCCTGCTGTTTGCTCTGTGCTGTGTTTGGATTGAAGCCTTGCATAAATTAGTGTTTCCTTAAAGGCAGTGACTGATTCTGATTTTGTGACCCTCCAGGTAAGGTGAGCGCTTACCCCGAGCTGGATGAGGAGATCGACTTTCTCTCTGCCATCATCAGTGAGCAGAGGACCGAATCCAGGCTGCCAGGTACTGGAAAGGCCACTACTTTACCTATAACACTTATGGAACTGGTAACCACCCCCACATCCCTGCTGACGTAATGACTGCAAACCTTTCATTCCTTACCTCAGTTCCGCCCTCCCAGGATGTGTCTGAACCTGAATCCAAGCAGGTCGGTGTGCCCGGCCCCACCCACAGAGCATTTACCACAGAGCAGGCCATGAGCCAGAGCGTCCCATTCATCAGCGTGACTCCACTCACCACCGCCGCCACAACCAACCACACCCCTGCTCTGCTCAGTGACCCCATCATCCTCCCCTACCCCTCTAATGACGGTGTCTTCATCAGTAAGTCTTTTGGTCCTCTACCCATGACTTTGTTTATGGTTTTGTTCTTGTTTCTACCTGTTTAATGACCATAATGACAGGTAACACATTGGAGGGTGTTTGACCACAGTTTGATGACTGCTAAAGTTCAGTTCACATTTTTATTGTCCCACAAGAGGAAATTCTTTTTGCAGCATAAAACCAGAACACAATAAAAACAGTGAGACACTCGAAGACATTCAAATCACTTGTATTACACACAGACAGAATATAGTAAAAGATTCACATGATCAAAGCAAATAAAAGTTACAACAATAAGATGAAGTGAAGGTCTTCATGGGTCCAAAATGTTGGAAAAGATCTTAGAGCTGATACGGAGTATGCTCTGATCCATGCAGATCCACTCAGGTTTTAGACATTTTGACACACAGCGATCAGTTTTCGTGACTACACAGGGAGCCTGTTTGTTTATTGGTACCCCTTTTTTATTTGTATTTTTATTTTTTTTTTAAAAATTTATTCAGGGAAGACTCACTGAGAGGAGGCCTTTCTTTTGCAGGATCACCATGATCACATTCACACTGTTACACATTCACACCTTGAAGCTGCTCAGAGCATCCACAGTCTGATCTGCTGCCACTGAGCAGCTCCACAGGTGCTCAGGGGCACCTCAGTGGTGGGAATGAGGGAGGGGAGTGCTGCCTCTTTGCTTTCCCCCACCCAAATTTATCCTGCTGGTCTGGGGAATGAAGCAACAACCTCCCAGCCACAAGCTCTAACCTTTAATGTCACCACTGCCCATTAGCACCAGCATTGGCATACAAAACCATGTCATGTACAGCGCTAATCATGTATCAAACTTCAGTATACTATCATCTACACACCTTGTTTCCTCTCATTGATTTATACAGTTGATTTGAAAATAGATGATATCCGCCTAATTTCATAGAGGTGGATAACAATGTTTACCATTCAGAATAGTTTGAATAGTTGGGTTTTTTGTTTTTCCTTATGGTTTCTTCACTAACAATGGAATTTGATGGCCGGACTTCAGTATTTAGCTGTGCAGGTTACGTGGTGGGGTCTTTGCTTCACTCCGTACCATCGATACATAGGTACACAGAGACACAACCTCTCGCTGGCATTTGGGGGTAGATGTTTGGCTAGATTCCTGGGAAATAGCAGGATCTCTATTCCTAGTATTTCCTGAGGCAGCAGCCAGGAGAAATCAACTGAATCTGCCCTCATTTCCAATCACGGGAATAAAACAGATGGAAAACAAGAGTCTTTTGAACACCCATCTTGACGTCAGCAGGCTTTCAGAGATCTTCCGACTGCAAAACATAAACATCATTTTAGTAAAAATGACCTAATTTCCTTGAAGAAGCATTTGTTCTTCATGCTCTGAAATCTCGGGACTGACCACAAATTTACTGTGGGCTTGCACCGAACAAAGCTCATACGTTACTGTCAGTTAGTTCTGCCTCGCTCCATTACTGTCATCAATGCCGTTTTCACTGCAGATCCTGCACAGCCTGAACCAACAGCCTGACACGCCATTATTTTCAGCAGCTCTTCTCTGAGCACTACACTCTGCTTCAAACTCATTTGCAGAGCTTTCATTCAGAGACCATGTCTTCCTCTAACACCTATAGACCTGCACAGCGTTCTATCCCGCTAATTGTCTGTATGTATTTCTTCTCAGTCATGAGCAGCGCCTTCATCGTGGCAGGTTCGCTGGCTTTGATCGTAGCAGCGGCCTGTTGGGTCAGGTAAGATATTTATTCCTCCCTCTCTAACCTACTGCACAAGACTCCAGATGTCGTCTCCCTTCCTGTCAGGATTTAATACTGTAGCCTGCACATGTGCTGCATGTTTTTGTTAATATTAAGCCTTGAGGCATTCAAATGATAAAATGCATGTTGAATACTTCAAGGGCTGCAACTCATGATATTTTCATTACTGATCAATCTGTTGATTCTTTTCTCGATTGTATAAATGAATTTGTGTATAAAATGTCAGGGAGTTGCCAAGAGTATAGTTATCCAGATGATTTTTTTTTTGGCTTCTTCATTTTGTCTGACCAGCAGCCTAAAAGTCAAAGATTTAAAGTCTCCTGTCATAGAAGACTGATAAAACTAGTAAATATTCACATTTGAGAGGTTGGAACCAGATAATTCTTGGCATTTTGCTTAATACAATTGAACAGTTAATCTGTTATCAAAATGAATATCCTGTCAATCGACTAAACATTTAAAGCTGCAGTAAGTAACATTTATAAAAATAACTTTTTTGTCATAATTTCTTTAACTTTTACTTTAACCTGACAGTTGTACATGATACAGATAATCAGAAAAATCTCCACCTAGTGCTCCTCATGGCCTTTCAACAATAATTATTGACTTTAAATTTTGAGACTAATGCTGGGAGTTTTTACTGTAAGGTATCATAACACAGCAATGTGTTTCAGTCAATTCCTAATGCATTCTTAAATCAGAAATGTAGTAGTGCTTGCCTCATTATTTCTAATGAACCATCTGTGTTTTTGTTCAGATTGCAGAAAGGTGTGCGTCTAACTCAGAAGGTGAGCTACCCTGTATATGGACTGATGAGAGCCCAAACCTTTGACAATTTGGTGAGTAAAACCTCTCTATACTGTGACTCTATATGTTACAAGGACTTTTCAAGGTTGCCCACCTAACCATTAATGTTCAGTTTTTATATAAATGTTATTGTCGGTGTAGTTTTTCCAAATGCTGTTATCTTTAACTGTACATATGCAGGAAACAGATGTTTAATGCATTAATTGGAAAGGATGAGTTGTTGCTTCAATAAGTCCCGAATCATCTGTATTTGACGCCTTGGGATTGTGACTGAACTATCAACTATCTTCCTTGGCTCTGATTGGTTGTTTACGTTCAGGCCCGTAGATTCTTGCAAATGCCATTAGGAGCACTAGGAGGAGCCAGAGGAACCTGATCATTTCACAGATTATCTGTCTCATGTACTGTCAGGATATAGTGAAAGTTTCAGCAAATATATGACAAATGTTTTTTAATGAAATGACCTACTGGAGCTTTAATGAAATTGAAATACTCATTAGTGGCACTGTAATAATATTACAAATAATTAAGTAATCTGGATCTAGCAGATCATCATAGCATTCAAACAAAAGGTAATATTTTCACAAAATATTTAGAACAAAGAATTAGTAAACAGTTGAAAGACTATCCAAGATGGTTTTGATGAGTTTTAATTTGTTTCCGTCGAGTGTGAATGTTAGGATGATCTGTGAGGTAAAATTACAGTTTTTGTAAATGGCATCTGGTGGCTTTGAATAGAGCAATATGAGCATGTTTAAAAATACAGAAGTTACCCTTATCTAAAGCACCAGCCGTTGTATCTGTCCAGCACCCTACAAAGGACAAATGCACCTGTCCTTTCAGCACTTTCCGCTCAAACATGTGCAGTAGAGACACGTGCTGCGAAGTGAATGTCAACTGAACAGTGTGACGGAATGAATACCACTGACTTTTCTCATGTCCCCTCTGCCCTTCGGTGTGTTCCAGCCTGGGGACAAGAAGCTGGCCCACAGTGCCCAAATGTACCACTACCAGCACCAGAAGCAGCAGATGCTCTCCCTGGAGAAGTGAGTCACCCTCCTAGCCCAGACACGCTCATCTTTTGTCTCGTGTCTCATGTCTCCGTCTCCTGCCCCTTGGGCCTTGTCCCTCCCTGCCTTCCCTGCCACGACTGATCTGCCTTATCCTCTGAATATTTTATGACTGTGTGTGTGTCTTTGTGTGTGCGACCTCTGCAGACACAGGGATGAGCCAAAAGTTCCTGACTCAGGAGCATCGACAGATGAGGAGAATGAGGACGGAGATTTCACAGTGTATGAGTGTCCTGGATTGGCACCCGTGAGTCAACCCTGCTTTATATACTTTTTTTTTTAAACTTACACAGTACTGCATATATTATCAATGTTGTCAGTAGGAGGTCCTTATTTAGATTTAAAGAACAGAATTATGGCAAATAACTGGCAATATCATTTATTTTAATTTTATTTTTTACAGTACACCAGTATCACACTTTCAGATGCATTGTTATTACATCCTCAAGCAATAGAAATGGATATACTGTATAAGCAATGAGGGGAAGAAGGTACATTTTCAAGGCTGTAAATAAAAATAACCACAGTTTAATATTTAGTATCTTGTACCAACAATACTGTCTCTCAGTCTTATTTTCATTTAGAAGGATTCATAATCTATTTATTTTTATTTTTAAAGGATAGCTATGAAAAAAGAAACATAATGTCATTATATACATCCAATGCTTGTAGCGGTTTGGCTTCATACAGTTGTGTAAATGTTACAGTGCGATATAGAGAATAATAGAATACAAAAAGGAAAAATATTAATTCCTTACAAAGTCTCAGAGGTTTGACGTATTGCACCCATTTTTCCATGTCAGTTTTAAAGAAAGTAAAGTAACCTTTTCCATCATGTAGATCTCTGTTGTCGCAATACCATTAATTCCATTACCATTAGTTATAAGAATCATAATTAGTTATAATATTCATTCAATTTAAAGCTAATCAATACTTTTTATATTAAAAATGTTTCAAATGTTTTAGTAACAACAAACATGAAGAATGTCACCAACTCTGCAGTTGCCCTCAGCTCTAAGGGGCATTAAGCTTCTTTTAGCTAATTTCTGTGTTTTTGCTAACACAACTCTAAAGCTTTAAATGTAACTTTGTAATGCTAACTGGCCTTTGCCACTGCCCTCAAGTGATCATTTAATGCACCTTTAATGGAACTTCTTTCTCAGTTCTGACTGTTTGGTTTTGTTGACTACTGTCAGGATATAGTGTCAGCAAAGTTTTACAAAAGTTACCTACTGCAGCTTTAAAGAAAGGTTGTGAACTAGTGCAATATGTTGTACTATTTTATTCTATTTTGAAGATAATGCACTGTGATTGTTTATGAACATTAACATGTTCTATACATTCACAAAATACACCTCCTATGTGCAAACAGAGCCTCAACACAATGGCAGACGAAACATTTTATGTCTGATAATGAACTACATGACCCACAAACAATGTTCCTCTCTCTGTGTCCATCTTTAGACAGGGGAAATGGAGGTGAAGAACCCGCTGTTTGATGACTCCACCCTTTACTTTCAGAGGTTCCACAAATAAACCTGGACATTGAGATGTTTCACCCTCCAAATGCAGCACTTGTGTGTAGTCGAATTTACACACATACACACACTTCACATACACTGCTGTGCTCAAGCCGTCTAATGGACAGGATGGACAGTGTAAAGTACATGGAGGAGAAAGAGGTGTTCATGGACATTTAAAGAACATCAAAGGGCTGGTTTGTTGTTTGAAGCAGGACTGAATCTGGGACCAATTTCTCCCATTCTGCATCCACAGTCTGTTTTTATTTCATGTCATCACCCTTTTCCCCCTATTTTTGTTCCCAAAATACAATCAGCCAATACTGAAGAACTCAAAATGCCTATCAGGTGGCAGACATGCATATTGAATATAATATCCTGTGTTGAGTCCAGTACAGTTTTCTGATGCCACTGAGCTACAACTAAGTATTTCTATCAGTTCATTGATAGATTTTCACAAATATACTCTTTTAATTCATTGAGTTCTCACTGCAGGCTTTGGTTTCATTTAAATGTTTTTAAAAAGAAATGTGATTTTAATATTTCCTGAACTCACCCCCATGCAGCACCGTGCTCTTTATCAGTATGTTATGTAGCCATCGTGTTCTCAGTCTAGTTCCTCTATGCATGAATTGATGATGCTGTTATGAAACCTGAGTCAATATGCATTTACACTTCTTACAAGTTTCTTGTGCAAACTTGCTACTGATAATTATATATATATATATATATATATATATATATTAATATATATATATATATATATATATATAATCTCTTGAATGATTTCAAAGGAATTTGAAACTTCTTTACCTAGAACTCTGAAACAGAGCGAGCCCATCCTGTATATATGGTATCTGACTAACATGGCTTGTCCCCATGGTTTTGTGATCTGTAAATAGCTGCTAACGTGTACAGGAAGGAGATCTTACCTCTCACTCAGTGTGTGTGTGTGTGTGTGTGTGTGTGTGTGTGTGTGTGTGTGTGTGTGTGTGTGTGTGTGAAACATGTTCCTGTAGATTCCTGAGTGCTGTGTCAAATATTGAACTTCTGTTTGTCTCCTTATCGTTGATTATATTTGCAGGGTTCCTACACATGTGGAAAGGACAGGAAATGTCGAGGTTTCAAAAACATATTGGACCCGGTATATTTGTCATTGTGCGTTAAAGTTTTTAACTCAAATGTAATAGTTTTGTAGATGAAGGGGGAAGCAGAGAGTATCCGCACATTATAACCATCGTTCCTAAACTTTTCTTAGAAGGGACCAGGCAATGTTTCTGTCCTTTTTTCTTTCTTATGCTAGCTAACTAGCTAACAATTGATCTTTTGACTGATTGACTAGCTACTTAGCTAATCTACAGTACAGCATCAGTGGTAAGCTAGCGAGTTACATCCAACAGCTGCTAGCAAATCGCTAAGTAAGTTGCTAATTTACATCAATCATTAGTTAGATAGTCAGCTAGCATTTCGCTAACATTGGCTGACCGTTATCTTTAAACCGTCCTCGGTCCTGGGCATTTGGTTTTCTTTTCAACCAGCTAGCGCCAGTGTTGGGAGTAATGTAATATTAAGTGACACAGTACTGTAATTCCACTACTTGGCAGTAGTTCTTGACTGAATGAACAGAACAGTAGAAACAACGTAGATTGGTGCATCCCTAACTGATATTCTCTGCTTTCTCCTTTACTGAAGCTGCTATCCTCGCCTGGCCTAAATACGGTCCTGGATTGTGCACAACTACCTTTCTCTAGTTTGTAGAAAGCCATGTTGCCCCAAGACATAGATCACAGGTCGAATGACACACCCAGGATGATTCTTGAGTTCAGTGACAGATGTTTGGCAGGGAAACGGTGCAGGAACCCTGGATGTAACTGTGGCCTCTCGCTGTCGTCTCTCAGGAAAGTCGCTCTCTGTGGCTCCTCTCTTCGGCCTGCTCCCTCTCTCTCAGCCTCTCGGCTCTCCCACGGTGGTGGAGGAGCACGCTAAACTGTACTTGACCTGCACACATACACATACATGAGTGTCAATATGTAAAAAGAAATAGCAGATACCAGGGAGTATTAACACTGGAGATCTTTAACTGTGTTGTAAAGACTGTTTTATTTAAACCTACTGAGCTTGTGGAACAAAATGAAGGGCAATTTATCGGCCTGAGAGATGAGGGATTAGCAGAAAAGATACAAATACTCATGTTTGCCTTTTTTTAAATGTTAAATAGCTCTGCTTTCCCTTCACTAGTGCTGAGAGCTATACAAAAACCGAGCAGGTTGTCTTGTTTTGGTCATTCTCTCTCTGATGATGAATGGGTATCATGAAGGAACTCTAGAACAAGTAACTACCTAGGTTAGCTATCTTTGATACAGACTGTTTTGAGACTACATATAATGAGTTCTGTACACAGAAGAGAACTTCTTTACCACTATGTTTAGCATGCATGTGGATATACCACAGCTGAAATGAAGGAAATAAATATTTATATAACCTGAAGTGAAACATGGTTTGTTGTGGTGTCTCTTTTTTTCCCCCCAGAAAATAACTGGGGAAATCACATTTTTAAAGGTCCAGTGTGTAACATTTAGGAGGATCTATTCATAGGTATGTTTTCATTAGTGAATAATCACCTGAAAAGCCATTAGCCCTGAGGTTTGCGACCATCGTAGTTTCTCCTACACGCTTCACAGCCCGTGTGCAGGTTTTCAAATAGATGCGAGTGGTGTTCAGTTAGTTGCAATCTACAACTTTACCACTAGATGCCACTAAATTCTTAGTATGAGAAACATTTCAGTTATATTTTACAGGGTTCATTCAGCCACAACACACATTTCTTTGGTACAAAGTAGTTCCAAATAAAACAACTGACAGCGTCTTTTATAAAGAAACACACCAGTTGCACTGAAAGATGCACTGATTTTTTTGAATGCAGTATTTCACTGCTGTGAGCACCACAATATACCTCAATGTGCCTCAATCCATGAGATCTCAAAACCTGTAAAACTATGACAGTAACACTGTATAATCATGAAAACCATGACAGTAAAAGACTATCAATTCTAAATAGGTTACATTTATCCCTAACAGTAAAACACTGTGGACAAATAAATTACTAAAACTATCTGCATGAAGAGGTAGTACTAGAAGGAAGTGAGAAAATAGTTTTTGGTAATTTGGGGTGAGCAACCAATTGTTTTTGTTTCACAATAAAAGCAGTGTTTTCTAAAGGGACCTTTTAAAATCTTTCAACACTGAGCATCCTGCTATGTTTGGTCACATATTCTGGTCGTGCAGTTCCTTACGTAGCTTCTGGGTGAATATTTTTGAAGCAGTCTTTTACATTTGCGGTACGACAGCAGATTCTAGCCCTATAATTTGGGGTGTCTGAGTCAGAAGGGCAATTTAATGTTCTCCAGCCGAATGCTATAGCATTTGCAATGCTGCTCTTCTGCACTGGAAGTCAGTGAAACCTCCCTCATCAAAGAAGAAGTACTCTTTATGATTCCATTGGAGAAGTTGAGATACAATCATTTAAACCAGAGCTCCATCTATCGAATGCAGACCTTTCACTTGACACTAACCCACTTTTTCTAATTCACCAGTACACACGAGATAGCCAGTCGAATGTATAATCTCATATCATGATGTTAAGTTATGTATTCTCATCAGGCATATTATTTACATTAGATTTAATGAATGATGAAAATATATTACTAAAGTGTGTGTTTTTTTTTAAATAAGATGTTCTCTGAAAGAAAACAGTGGGAAAGAGCGCCATCTGCTGGCATAACATGGTAACGATCAGTGCTCTAGAGTGGGGTTAAATCTCCTTTTTGAATGATCAGACATGTGATTCTCCACTCCAAAATGGCAACTCTAAATTCTGAAGTATTATTAACACAATAAAAAAACATAATTATATGTCCTGCATTCAAACGGCCCCTTCATAGTGGTACGTGTCAGTGGGGATATTGAGCAGTGGTGGAGGAAGTACTCTTACGAGTTAAAATCTTGCAGTCACAATTTTATTCAAGAAAAAAACAGAGCAAAGTGTTCTAGAATGAAAAGTACTTATGCAGAATGGGTCCTTTGAGTGCTGTTAATTATTAAATACATGTTCTACAGGGCAGTGGACACAGGGCCCTTTGTTTTCAGCCTGTATGTGGAAAGGAGAGCTGCCACAACAGCAACCATGCAGACCACATTCTGGCAATGATGTGAACATCTGTGTATATATTTCAAAAGTGACATTGAAGGCAAATTACGTCTAAAAAAAGATTTCTTTATTTCTCAGCCAAAAATGTACAGCATATATTTTCTTGATCAAATTAAAGAATCCCGTTGTTTCTGAGGTATAAACTGTGCATTATTTCCTTTTCTTTGTAGAAGTGAAACTGAAATAAAACCCTGGCAACATTTAGGAGGACCTATTGACACAAAGGGAATATAATATCATATCCATCTATGTTTTCATTGTTGACTAATCACCTGACTATAGGAATTGTTGTGTTTTTGTTACCTTAGAATGAGCTGTTTATATCTACAGAGGGAGCGGGTCCTCTTTAAGGAAGTGGCCATGATGAACCTCCATGTGTCTACAGTAGCCCAGAACAAACAAACCAAACACTGACTCTAAATGGGACTGTTCCTTTTTCATACGTTTTGAAACCATCGTAGTTTGTCCTTTGCAGTTGGTTGATATAAGGGGTTACAGGTGGTTGCAATCTGTAATCTCAGCACTAGATGTCACTAAATCCTACGCAGTAGTCCTTTAATTTAATACGTTTTTCTTTTAACTAATGGGTTTACAGTATTCATGATCTCTTGTGTATATCATTTGCATTCAAATATTTGATCTTTTTGAGTCAATAAAATGACTAACGAGGATGTCGGAAAAGCAAAGTCTATCGAGTGTCATGATTAATTTTTCATCTCATCGATTTGAATCTTCACATATTCCCGAAATGTAGTGAAGTAGTAAGTAGCAGAAAATGGAAGTACTTACAATAATTATAATGAGTACAGTACAGTCTATAGAAAATGGTTGTTAGTTCAAACAGAGTAGCACATTATCTACAGGTTTTTCTTGTTACAATTATGAAAGCTGTTATGTGTTGATCTTTGATTTGATAGTCTCAGATTTGTATTAATAAAACAAAATGTCAAATATCTGTTTAAAATCAGAGAAAAGTTTTAGGCAAGTTCTATAAGCAAAATGCATATAGAATGGAGTAAATGTTCTGCGTGAGTATGTGAGTGTGTGTGTGTGTGTGTGTGTGTGTGTGTGTGTGTGCAAGTGTGCGTGTTTGTGTATAGACATTGGGGGATATTTGAGTATTTCTGTTCAAGATGATGACTGCAACGATATTGACTCTTCTCGTCAGTCATAACGGAAAATAGCTGGAAATATTGCTCTCGGACGCTTTTGTCACTATACACACCCCAGTGATTTTCTAACGTGAAGGTGTTTGCCAGAATGAAACCTGTGAGCTTCAAGGGAGATAATTCTGCTGACTGCTGCTGTAGCAATGCAAATGCAGAATGTAAACCAGTCTGGGGACTAATTAACCCAAACTGACAACAGAAACTAGAGAGGTTTCATACTCATGTGACAAACATGGGGACTGACTACAAAAGTCAATCTCCTTGCCTCCAATGCACCCACCACCACCAGGCCTCTAAATGTTCTGACTACTTTTGCTGATTTATATGATGTTTCTAAGGTTTGTCCACTTTTCCAAGAACAAAATCTTATGGGAGAAATTACATAACCCCAGAATAAATGTTCATTTCATTTTTAAAGAACTTATGTAATGCCCTTCATTCAAAATTGTACTCAAGTAAAAGAGTAGTATTATCAGCAAAATGTACTTCAAATGTATTGAGTATTATGCACATTGTCAGGTGAGCAGGAGAGCAGGGAGACAGAGGCTACGTTCACACTGCAAGCCTTAGCGCTCAGTTCTGATAAATTGCTCGGATCAGATATTTTGTAGTTGTTTGGCTGTTCACATTGCTTTTAAATGTGGCCCATATCAGGTTCCAGTGTGAACAAGTCAAGGTCCTGAAGTGACCCGGATGACAAATGTCAATCTAGACTAACATAAAGAAGACATAAATTCTGATATGACTGTTTACACTGAGGTCACACTGAATCACACCTGAATCTGATTTCGCCCACATATGAAAGAACGTAAAAGATCAGATTCCATTTGATTTGTGCTGTTCACACTGTCATAAAACAATCAGATCATATAAGTCACATAAGATTAAAAACATCAGATTTGGGCCAGAGAGAAAGGTAGAGACACAGGTGAGCCACACAGGAGTGTCTGAACCAGGGAGCTGAGGAAGTTTGGCAGGGGAAGACAGACAGTCGTGGATGAGTCGGATGGGACGTGGAGGCAGAGTAAAGTAAAGTGACCGAGTAAACCAAACTTGTGTGTGAGAATCTCCATTTGTTGCATATTCAGGATGACCAGACCCCAACAAACCAAATGTTGGCCAAGGAGTGTGTTTGTGTGGGTCTAACTAACTAAAATCTATCTAAAGTTTATCTAAGTTAATTTAAGTTTATCTAACTAACTATATATATATATCTTAAAATATAAACATTTCTATTCTGTCTCTTAGCCTGCAACCTCAGCTTTGCCCTCTGGTTGATTCAGTAGCACACAATAGACTCGCAGGTTACAGGTTAGGCCTTCAGCATGTGAAGGACTTCAATATATTTTACTTGAATGTAACTAACTCTCACACTAAATAAATACAATAAGCATTAAAAGCATAAAAAGTATGCATTTCCTTTTCTTTGTGGTTTATAGCTCACATCATATCGCACCCAAATCTGCATATTGTGGCTTTGTGGTGACTTGCGATTTTCCCTGTTGGTGTTGGATAAAAATGTTCAAACCTGGGCCAGAAAAAGGTCTGGAAATCTTGCCCACAGTTGCTAAAAAACATCATTAAAAATACGTATTGGAGTAAGAAAATTACTCAGGACAATGCTCTGGAGTCCACAGAATCTGATGCATAAGAGTTTTATTGGAGTCAACCCACCAACAAAACAATGAGTGTGGTCCCGTCTGCATTCAAACACCCTATGATATATTGTATAGGAGCTCCTCCTTAATCAAATCACCACACACTGTTTTCTCAACATTTACTCTTTTGGCAAATCAGATCCATTATTATAATTTTTGAGTGGTGACGTTTTGTTATGCCCAAATTTAGCACCGGATCTAATGGAAGTCTTTATGAACTCCATCCCAACTTACTATAGTTTGTATGTGGCGTGCTGGTCATGTGGCATGTACACCCCTCTCCTCATCTTCTGCTGACTCTGCACTCCGGCTACTGCTGGGGACTTTCCACATACCTGGTATTGTTAGGTGTTCTTGAACTACCACTACTATCTGGTGGTGTCTGCCATCCATACCTCCAGCCTCACCTCTTGTAATAGCTGGTGTCTTACATCCACACTGTCAGTGCTGCCTCGACACTAACAGCCAATGGCTGACTGTTCCTGATCTTTTTTAAAAATCGTTTTAACTAATTCAGAGGAGCTCCCATACTTAACACAGCACACTTGATAAATATAACAGCAAACATGCTATATAATAGAATATTGATTAGTTTACTTACTTCTTAAACATGCTGTATAATAGAATATAGATTAGTTAACTTATTTTTCAACTCATGAAAACTGCACTCGACCAATGTGTGCTCAGTTATAACGCCCTTTCCTGCTTTCCTCAAAGCCATTGGATAAAAAACTTCTGAAAAATACAGCCAATCAAAATGTGGGACATTGTCTCAATATGTGGGACAAGGGATAAAAAGTCCCACAAAAAAGTGAGACACCTGGTCACCAGGACTGAGGGTGCGCTCTCATCTATGCAGGGGTGTATCTAGAGGGGTGGCCTGGCTACCCCAGCTGCCACACACAGGACCAGTGTATGGGATTTAGTGTCATCTAGTGGTGAAGTCACAAATTGGTGGTTCAACATCTTGGCCTTCATGGAAAACGATGTTGCTGTGTCTGTAGGTATAGAAGTTTTATTCTAAGGTAACAAATACACAACAGTTTCTATATTCAGGTGAAAAATGTCTGACGATTTGGAAACTTTTCCGATGATTTGGAATTAAACCAGTTAACTGATTTCTAATGCCACCTTTAGATATGTGCCACAATAATGTAATGTTTTTGACTTCAGACTTTTGGTCTGTCCTAGGTTTCTGCCTCTTAACAGGCAGTTTTTCCTTGCCGCCTTCACCAAGTGCTTGCTCATGGCGGTACTGTTGGGTCTCTATAAATAATGTTTTAAGGAGTTTGGTCTAGACCTGCTCTATTTGAAAAGTGTCCTGAGAAAACTTCTGTTATGAATTGGTGCTATACAAATGAAATTGAATTGAATTGAAAAAGGGCTTTTCCAAGCAAATATTGAAATATATGATTGTTTGCGATTAGATCCACATATATTTCTGTCATCGCTTAAAGTCTTCATGCTACTCTTAAGCCACCCCATGAGTATTTCTCTAGATCTGCCCCTGCATGTATGGGGTTTACCCTAAAATTTCTTGGTCATGATAAAACTAATATAATAAGCTGCACTTTTGTAGATTTGGGCTGCAGGACTCTGACAGCAGTTCCAGATGAATTCTAAACGAGCTTTAAACAACCAAAAAGTCCAGACTCATGTCAAATTGTCAACTTACTAAGCTGGGTAACTCCAGCCTGTGAACAAGGGGGCCCATCATGTATTTTGCTGGTCTGTGTAGTTTTGATCTGATGAATCACCAACAGCACACACTTTCAGTCTCTACTTGAAAGAGTTCAGTACTACACTCTGTCCTTCACACAAGTGACGGAAGTAGTTATGTGAAGAGAGAACAAAAAAGGTTGAGAGAGAAATTCAAATCCTGTGTACTTTCACACCTCCACACACAGACATTTGCGGCATGAAGTGCGTGTGATTGTCAGATTGACTACTTCAAAGGTTGGAAAAAGTCCCTATTTGCATAGATGGAACATACACTGATCAGCCATAACATTCTGTTCACCTGGGCACCCTGGTGGTCAGAATGGCTGATCGGTATAATATTCATAGGTATGTTTTCATTAGTGTATAATTAACTAAATAAAAGGATCATTGTGTTTTGGTTACCTTAGAGTGAGACGTTTTTATCTATCTACAGAGGGAGCAGTTCCTCTTTTACAGAGTCCACTATGTTGAACTGCCATGTTTCTACAGTAGCTTAGAATGGACCAAGCAAATTCTGGCTCTAGATTGAGGTGCTTTTTTCGCAGGTTTCACGGACGCCACTATGCCACTAAATCCTATACAGTGGACTTTTCACAAGATTTTTCCTCAAAAAGCACTAAATCTAAACTAATTTTAACTGCAAGCACAAGAAGACACTGCATTAACTGTCATGGCACCTAAAATGGAGAAATTATCTAGTTTTACTTTTTCTGGTAATTTCTGCCACTAGGGGGTCTCTGTCAACAAAGAAATAACAAAAGACGTAGTCATGAAGTAGCACTGGCTCATGGGAGTTGTTGTTTTCGTTGTTACAACCCCCATTGCCGATTTATCTTATGAGAAATCATGCTCACGGAGGAGGATATGTATTAAACTTTTATTCACATTAAGTTTCATGACTTCCTCTCACTCTCCACCATGTTACCCGGGAGTTATAGCAAATAAAGGCAAGTAATAAACACAGCATTACCTAAATAAAATGGCAGATTTGTAACTCAACAAAATATATAACAATTACATAAAAAGTATAACAACAGGTCTAGTTGTTTGTTTTTACATTTTAATGCGTAATTGTTACATGTTTAAAGTCCGTTGTAAAAATTTTAAAATATTAAGAAAAGCGCCACACAAATGTATGTAATGTAGGGATGCACCAATTTATCCGCCAAACATCAGGGTCAGCCAATATTTGATTGACATCAACATAGCGGCAAATAAGATGACATTCTTCAATGTCAGTGGCAGATGTATTTGTTGCACTGGTTAAACGCTGTGCTGGCTATTTCCAACTTGAATATTGGAGAAATAATAAATAATCACCTCCTTTTTCCAGCACTGAACCGCAAGAAGGCAGAGATTCTTCTATCTTTGTAGATTTCTTTTTTCGCCTGATAACACAGGGGAAATAAATAAGAACAAAAACCATCTGTATCAGCAAAATTGTTATTATAAACAAGCGGTAATGGCCCAGAATTTCGTGATTGGTGCATCCATACGTTATTATTATCTCCTTACTATTTAAGTTATTTTTGGGTAACCATGTAATTTCCTAATACTAAGCAGGAGATCTAAAAAGTACTTCTAAAGTAGTCTAAAACACACTGGGGCCCTGAGCAGACATAATCATATGTTCCTATCATAATCAAGGAAGGAAAAACTAAATGTCTGTTGTTTTGGATGAGCAGACATTTCAGGTAAAGAATAATTACATATCCTCACTGTTTACAGTAATCAATGGCCCATTGTAAATAGGACCTTTCTTCCGTGGTAACAGCAAAGACAACATGCTTATTTATGGTTACTCACAGGTTCCCACTTCCGCTTTTTTTGAACAGCACATGACCAACCTAACAAACCACTTGAGATTCGTTTCTGTGGTGTGCAGTTCCTCACAGTTTACCAAAACTACATGCCTGAATGTAAATCCCACATCAAATTGTCACTGTTTGGTATTTCTGATTTGCATGTGGTAACCTAACAGTATCAGCAGTCCCAATCAAAACACCTCAGTGACCTGAAAGCATGAAAAGATAAAAATCTTAGCTGTAAACCCAGCCCTCCAGGTCCTGATAGACTCTGTGGGCTGGTAAACTGGGATACTTAACACAGATTTGACAAAGCCTTTCTCTCCAGTCTGTGTAGGTTTTTATTCTGTGAGTATGCCGCCACTGGAAGTACTTCTCATAGGCCTGCTTGTCTGCAGCCACACGCTTCAGATAGGCAGCCAGATCCGCTGTGCTCTTGAAATCAGCCACATGGATAAAGGAACCAGCTGGGGCCAGGGCCTCGTAGGTGGTCCTGTTTGGGCCAAGAACCACAGGCACAGCTCCAGCTTGGAAAGCGTTCCTCCACAGCTTCTCACTGATGTAGTCCTTTGCCTCAGAGTTCTCAAAAGACAGGTAAAAAAGGCAGTTTGCGATGGTTGGCAACAGCTTTTTGTTCGACAGGGGTTTCTTGTTCCACCTGCCGTACACCTCTATGGGAATATACTTCTTTAGACTTTGGTAAACCCTAGCCCGAGCCTGGTGAGGCCGGTATTTGCTTACCACCCAGCTGACAAAGCAGGAGCGGTTTGGAGCAGCCTGGAAGTTGAGCTCATCGCCTCCTAACACAGTCTTTCCATAGGGAATGGATATGTCTGCATCGCGTCTGTAGCTCATGGTCCAGTTGAAGAGGCCGTTGAGCTGCGAGAGGTTCACACTGTTGACAGGAGGCTCCATGGACAGCCACACCCAATGCTGGGTGGCCGGGCGTTCCTGGTGCAGGGGCAGCGGGGACATACCTCTGCTTACCTCATGGTGGTGGAAGACAACCACATCAGCGGTGGAGAAGGCGGCGGTGTTATCAGTGAGGAAGCAGCGGCTGATGTTATACATCTCGAGGCACTTGTCTCCATCAAGACTGTAGGAGCGGCCAAACGGCCAGTGCCACAGCAGGACACTGATGTTCCTCTGGGGAGCCTTCAGATGACATTTCTGCTGCTCAAGCTTCCGGTCCAAGAAGCTGTAGTAAAGCAGGTGCAAGAGGGAGCCGAGGAGGAGGAGGAAGAGGAAGAGGAAGAATGCTCGGGATCCAGATGTTGTCATGGCTGGCGGGCGTATTCCAGGTCAAAAGGGCACAGATCACTGGTATGGAACTTGAAAGGAAGGAAGGGTAGATCAGAGAAGTTATTTTGCTTTCATCTGTTCTCATCAGTGCAGGAACTACAGAGGGCAAGGTGTTAAAGACAAAAACATATTCTACTGCAGAACATATTTAATTTGAACTCCCAAAATTATTATTTTTTAATCAAATGTTGTCACAAGTTAATTACAATTGATTGAGCTTGTATTAGATATGTAACAGACATAAATTAAATACAACTAAAATCCCAAATAAATAGAATTATAAATAGAATAGAATTACTGTAATCCTTGGGGTTTCTTTACAATATGTTCAAACTTTTGTAAAATTGGTGAGTTTGTTTTAACAATGAAATTCAGAGCATGTTGTGAAATCGATACTGCTGTCTGTGTCGCAAGTTCTGCTTCTGCTAGAAGTTTGTTCTGATTTCATCATATTGCACACTAACTGCCCATATAAACTATTGTTAAAGGTTTTGTCTTGCTTATACCTAATTAAACAAATGAATTAAACTTTATATTTAATTATCATATGGAAAAAAACTACAAATTGAACGGTCTGTGACTCATCAATTAATTACAACAGGTGGTCATTCCTGACTATAGCAAAGCGTAATATCATCAGCATGTTTTTGCAATAATAAGTCACTTTCTGTCGAGCATATTCAAATAACCTTTTCTTGTGGGTTCATGACGAGGCAGCTTGTGAAATGAAAGTGGCAGCAACAGGTTTTTGACAGGTTTTGAAGATGGCACACGCTGATGTTTGCTACGCCACAAACCAAACATAATTTTAACATTTCATAAGAAGGAAAAAAGAAATTCAGAATGAAAATGGAAACTATAAAAATTAGGTCTTTCAGGGATTTTATTTTCAATCACCCAGAGTAGCCATACAATAGCATTCTGTGCATTATGAATCAGCAGTAAAAACTTTTATACCAGCTTAGCAGGATTTGAATGATATAAAAGTGAAGTTGGCAGAGATGTTGGCACTTACCTGGGTGACATGATGTCGGGCTGTGTGCTGCCCGTACAGCTTTGTCCTACTGAAAACACATCCTATAGAATATAAAGGAAATCCTGCCCCTCACAAATTTTTTGACTCATCTGTGGCTTACACACACTTACACACACACTTACACACACATACACACCCAGCTTCTCGATGGCAGTGTGTGACGGTTGATTTACAGCCTCAATCAGTGGTCAGTAGAAAGTAACAAGCTGCAACAAACAGGAAAAATGGCCATTAATTAAATAATTTCAAGGTCATTTATATACATTACATTATACACATAGAACACAATAAAACAATATATGCAATTATTTATATTATATATATATGCTCATATACACCCAGGAAATACGGAAATTCTGCAGTGCACTTTTTGAATTTGCATCTGGTTGAATATAAACAGCAGCAACAAGATACTAATCATAATATGGTTTCATCTTCACATAAAAAAAAAACAGTATCCACCTACTTTGACTGCGTTTGAGCACCAAACGTCATGCATGACCATCTGCTAATTTAAAAAGAGTTTTTACACTTCATCCTCACATTAAGTTTGGGTGTGTTCACCCATGTTTATCTGGGTGTCAGAGGTGGTTAAACCCTCACCAATCACCACAGCCACCTGCCACAGTGCCACCCTGTGTCACACTCATTTATCTACCTGTGAAATTACTCATGCATCTGCAGAATTGGCACAGCCGCAGGTGGCAAACATGGCTGATTTTAGATTCATAAAACCACTAAAAGATGGCCTTCCTGTTTCTGTTCTCACAGCTCTGCAGAGGAAAGGGGTACATGGTTACACAGCTTCTGTAGGCACAGACCACATCATAACCGTTTGAACAAACTGTTTCACACGCTGCCTCCCAGTTCACAGCTTGGCTGTTAATGTACAACCTGATGCAAAACCTGCGCCCACTCCGTGCTCCTAAACTCCAGCACTGCACTGCTTTAACTCACAGTTTTAATTTCATTTTTATGTTTCTGAACTTACAGTTGTATCAGTAAAATTTGCCAAGAGCTGGATTCATGTTCAGTGATGTTTGGAGCTATCATCAGGCCTTGCAATGGGTATTAGGCTGTGCCGTCATAAATCTACTCAATGACAGGGACACCATACTCTAACCCTGACTTAACTGCCTTTCACCCTATACTTCCTTTCAATTAAAGAGTAGATACCCTGCCTGACCTTATATCTACATTCTATCTACTTAGGCTAAAACACTACTGTCTGATGAGCATACTCATGTCAATGCTAAGGCCCACTCTGTTGTCCAAACACCAAACTATTATGGAACAACAGTGCTGAGTTGTGACCTGAGGCTCTATTGCCACATTGATGCAGAGAGCAGTGTGAAACTGGTATTTCCTTGGGTGGCACTGAGGTTATTTCCTCGCCTGCGTCGCTTTGTTATCTCATCCGGCCCAGTGGGAGGACAGGCACGATGTACGGTAGTGAAGTGTAGCAGTGCCATCGCCACATTCTGTCAAGAATACTCCTCAGGGCACTTTAGTTCCATAATAATTTGGTCACATAATTTAATATAAAATGTTGTTTGAAAATGAAAATCACACAAATACCTAATCCCGACACTGTGTAGCCTACACTGAAAGCTTTTCTTTTCTTTGCTTTGCTGTGCCAACTCTCATTGCAGCCCTCTGAAGGCAGCAGGTATCAGTACCATCTGTAGTCTCAGGAGGGATGTTGCATAATATCAAAACCACAATTATGCACGGCAGATCTGCTAGTTAATATTTGTGCAACTAGCAAAAGACTGTTGCACAATAACTACATAAATCTGCTTATGTGCACATCAAACTTTTGATCAGTTATTTTACGTTTCTATAAATCAACAGGTGGTTTGAAGACGGGTGCATTCAAAACTAATTGATCTTTGATCTTTTATATATATATATAGTTATATATATATATTTATATTTATATTTTGTTCTTAATAGATGTTTGTATAATATATGTTGTTTGTATATCTGGAGTTTTGTAACAAAAATAATTTCCCCCTGGGATTATTAAAGTATTTCTGATTCTGATTCTGATTAATCACACAGTCCCACAGATCAGTCTTGCAGATTCCACGATGCCCAATTGTAGATAAAATATGATAAAGTGCCATCTACGGTGCTAATCCTCCCTACTGTTTCACTATGAATGCATCGCAACTTTCTGCATACCTCATTCATTTATATATTATAGGATGACTGCAGTGATATTCTTCCTGATCTTACCCTGTACCTAACTGCCCCACAGGTGCGCATGCGAGCCTGGCCATGAAAATGTCAAAAGGTGGATGGAACGATATACAATATTATCACTTATCGAGATAAAGACATGGTGAATTTGCATTTTCAGGATAGTCGTGAGGACTGAATAAGCTGTCTAGCGCACACTCCTATAGTCCAATATCCTGATTCATTTTGAATTGCCTCAAGAAGGGGGAGCCCACATCTTTCTGCTCCTTCCAAAATCCTAATGCTTTCACCATGACTGAAGGCTTGGCTTGCTCACTGTACCCCCCACAAGAACCCCCCACAAACTGTGAAAACATAATGGCTGTGATGGCACTGCATGCAAACATGAAGAGTGTTTATGCTTCATGTTTTTGGTTTCCTCCCACTGTGGCGGATGCGATGACAAACCAGCATAGGCAAGGAAATAACCTCAGTGCCACCCAGGGAAATACCAGTTTCTACACTTCTCTCTGCCCCAACATCACAATAGAGCCGCAATTCAGGGTGTGAACTACAGGAGCAAGGGGGTGCTCCCCTGAAAACATGATTTGTGAAAAATTGGGGGGTCTCTCAAATATTGACAATATGCTATTTTTGCCATGCATTTCTTTTTGTATCTTCATCATGGATCATGTGTTAAATTGGGCTATTATTGGGCTATTACTGATGTATGATTTATACATTAATGTGATCTAATTCATTATATACCAGCATGCATGCTTTTCTTGCAATCACCATTGAAGCGTAGTGGCGCAATATAATAAACCTCACTTATTGTAACTCAAAGATGAGAAAAAAGCTTTCTCAATCCGCGCAGCAAATTGCCATTATTCATTTCTGTTTTGTAGTCAGCATCCTGTGAATCAATCAGTCAAGCAAGACAAAAGTAAAGTAAAAAGTAAGACAAAGTGAACACCAAAGGCAATGGCGATCTGCGCTGCTGGGTTCACAAAAATAGAGCCCTTGCTCTGAGCAGGCCGGCAGCGAACCGTGCAAGGTGCACTCATTCTTGACACCATTGCAGAGGATCCTCTCTGAAACTTTCTTCCAGAAATCCACATCTCCTGGACTCTGCCCTTTGAGGACAGTGTAGCTGTCCCTCTATGCGTTGTGTGTGAAATATTACATTACATACATATTAAAAAGCTCAGATTAGCTATTACAGTACAAACACACTGACTCAGTCATGTAGACATCCCAGCCTCAACATACTGTAAGTACTGATGCCTCATGCTTGTTGTGTTGACAAATTTAACCAAATTGACAAAGACTAAAACTGAATACGGTATTTAAATTCATTTTAGTTAGCTTTGTGAGTACACAATATTGTTTCAGTCCGTTTTTACTTTTATTTCAGTTAACTAAAATGCTTCACACCTATTTTTAGTTTAATCTTTAGTGAACTATAATCCCACCTTCAATCCATGCTGGATTCATCATCCTGATTGTTAGCATCAAAACTATCCTAATCTGAATAACATCTCAATCCCAATTTTGAAATCTAGTCCTATTCAGATACTTCTGATCTAAATCAGTGCTGTAAATCTAAAGCTGTGGTAGATAACTTTATAATAATACCCTTTTGTCATATTTGCTGAAGTCCTCAGGCTCCTCCTGCTGCTCCTAATGGCATTTGCAAGAATCTACCACAAATGAAGTCCAGTCAGCACAGGCAGCAGGCTCACCAAACTCAGATCAAACAGTTAAACTAGGCAGTGCTGATCAAACATGAATCAAGATTCTGTTACTGTGTTGACTATTTCTCGCTTAAAATGTTTTCAGAAACGTATTTTAGTGTACTGTTTAGCTGTAATATGTAAAAGATTCTGTGTCAGCCAACACGTAGAAGATGGCAGATCCAAAACCAAGAACCGCCCAACTTGCTGTTTCGTCAGCCACCAGCTGAAGAACACACATATCACTAATATACTTCATGGTTTTTATTACTTTTATGAGGACATCAGTTTAAATGAAACACACACACTTGCACACAGGCATGGATTACGTAAAATTACATAATTTACATTATTATCTAGGATAAACAGTTCTGTGGCCATAATAATATTATATATAAACATTAAATATTTCCATTTGGTGTAATAATTACATGGTAATTTCTATATTTTCTCTGGGTTTTATTAATGTTGATTTTGTAAATAATATTATTGTTTCTTCACACTGGGGCTTGTGGGATCGCAAACAATGAAGAAGTAAAGGTAATGTCAACCAAACACAATAGTCTTAATGTCACAACTGCACTAGAGGGCAGCACAGGCTCTCCTTTAGTCTACCTCAGGACCATGCTGTATAGCAAGGGCCACATGTAACTCCATAGCAAAAATATTTGGCCCTCTTTGACTCTCATAGTTTACATCATACATTTTTCATCAATTCTCTGTAGGTAATAATATTAATACAAGGCTAATCCTGATAAATATTAGTTACTTATACCTAACAAACTTGACTGTGCCTTCGTTCTGCACCAGGTTGTTTGAACAGTACACAGTGCTGACATGGACTCTAACAGACCAGTATTCGACTTGAAGCTGCACATTGTTACAAACACTTTACAGTACACCTGCACCTTGTCCCCGACACATAGCCTATTACCAGGGGCACCAGAAAATGTGGCATAAACACATTCATTGGTACAAAAGATCCCATAGAGTGATTGCTTTCCAGTTGTGTTTTCAGACTTTTTTTACTGTGGGGTACAAGTGGAGCACTGACTTATACAGGGGTGGCATAAAGAATGTGTCTCAGGTTTCCAGTCATTCCCAATGTGCAGAAATACTCAAATACACTAGGCAAAAATAACACATTTGTACCACATGCAAAATACTGCAAGGTTTTTGCCCCACGGAACCCATTTTCATTCCCTGTTGCAGGCTTTCAGAATTAATCACTATTTATACTGAGTAACAGAATTGAACTTGGATTAAATTCACCTGCAGACACCTTC